CAGGACATCAATTTAAAATACCCCAGACCAGTGGACGTTAAGAAATCCTTGTACCCCTCTGGGGAATTGGAAGAGCTTAAGCAAAGTTATCCAGAGGATGAAGCCATACATCTGCATCCCCTCATTAAAACTGAAACCACTGGCCAAGGGGCAGCTCAGTAAACTACCACACAGACACCCCATACACGGGGGGAGCCCTGGCCAAACCTCAGGAGAAATACAGCTGTGAGGGCAATGAATCGGAGACTGAACATGTGTGGAGGGTGTCCCTGACCGGGGGAGATCAAATGTTGTTGAGTGAGGATGAGGCCCAAGGATTTTGGGGCCCAGGGATCTAACTGAGCACCAAGGTCTCTGACCCAGAGAGCTGCTTACTGGGCAGTGTGAGAAAAATCTCATTTATTAAATTTAGAAAAACGGCAAAAGTTTGCAAAACAAAAGGAATAAAATGAAAAGGAAAAATTACAACACGTGCTGGGTGTCCTAGGCATGCAGGGTTCCCAGGAACACCCCTTCCAATTTGAAAGTCCCGCTTTTTAAACATTCTTAAGGTTCAACCCTGTTTATGTCATAGAAGAGGCGTTCCCCTCTCCCTGATTGGCTCTGTCGTGCTGGGAGGTGGAGTGTACAGCAGCATGGCAGCTCCCAGGGCCAGCCATGTGGTATAAGGGTTTCCTTACCAATATTCATTTTACAGTTCCCTATTCCCGTCCGCATATTTCCCTGACACTGGTTCCAGGCTGAATCCAGCGTCTTACAACTCCACGATACACCTTATATTTGCTTGTAATAAAACCGATTCTTTATTTCTCACAGCAGGAGGGTTAGACCCTATAGAAAGGGGAGATCCTCACACAATTAAAACCCTCACAATTGGCCACATTGTTAAAAGTGTAAAAAAAAAACCCGCATGTCTCCAATTAAAGCACACGAAATTATTGGAACCACAACGAAATTCCCCCATGGATCTCGAGGCGGATCCACAGAGATTTCCTGTCTTGATCCGAGGCCTGCCTGAGGCACTAAAAGTTTGTGCTAAACACTTACAAGAGTGCACAAAGGCAAACTCTAGGCCTAGGAGAAGAGGTGCCCCACCAGGAATAACCTGGTTGGAGGTAGCCCAAGAATTAATAGCTACCAGTCAGCAGTTTGGAGCTCTCTGATACAAGTGGCCAGAGAACACATAGCAGAAGAGCAGGGAAGGTCCAAAAACCTGCCTCACCAGGTATTTGTCAACAAAATGTGTTATTTAGTGGGCGAAAGAGGTACAGTTTGTGGGTGGAGGGTGTTGCTAAAGGAATTCCTCAAGAAGTAATGGACACATTACCTACCACTAATCTGGAATGCTTGATTAAGCACTGGGGCAAGATCAAAGAACACGAGGCACCTCCTAGGAGCAACCCCCCTCAAGTAAAATCCAATCAAATCCAAGGAAAGTAAAATTAACCTAATTAAATTCCTCAGCAGCTTGCAGGAAAAACAGACTCACCCCTTCCGGGTGGGATTGGAGCCACTCCTGCCACAAGATTAAACAGAGGTCAAATATCGGGTCAAAACCAGCAGCAAAACCCTTTTCAAGTAACTCCCAGCTCATATTTTGGAGAAGAAACACCAAATATCACCTGTCTCCTGCTCACCTGCCTGCGATCGTGCAGCTCCAGCCCCTGACATGCTTCAACCTCACTCAAGAACCTCAATTAAAGGCTTTTTGAATTAATTTAATGAATTTCTATCTGTTTTCCTTCTGTTTGGCCCAACCATTGATCAGGGAAATCATTTATGCTGATCTAAGGCATTTTGGGAATGGGCTTTCTCCTTCTAGTACTGTCCCGGTGAGTGTATTTTGGGGGAAAAGCATTTATTTCAGGTTCTGGGAAGACCTTTGGGTCTGTTACCTTTGGGGTCTGTTTGCTTCTCCATCCCCATGTTGAGGTTTCCAAGGTCATGGAGAACATTGGGTGGGTTTGGTGGCCTCTAATGCAGGATCTGGCCTTGAAAAGAGTAGGGAAGGGACAGGGGAGGCTGAGAAACCTCCGGAATTGGAACAGTTTTGCCTCAGAGATCCTTCCCTTGGTGGCCAAAGTGGAGCCTAAGAAGCTCCAGGGGAGCCACCACATCTGGGAAGGGAGGGGAAGGAAGGGAAAGGCCTGAGCTCTGCTGGGACCCTGGAGGAGCCAAGGACTGGAGGCACCCACAGCCACCAACTCCCAGTCCTGCCAAGGGCTGGAAACTGAGCCCATTTGGGGAGGTTCCAGGTCCTCCAGTCCAGGATGTCACCGACCTCTCCATAGGCCGTTGCTCCCAGTTTTTCAGAGCTCTCCACAGCTGAACAATCCCAACAGTGAGATTGTTCCTGAGGGCAGGAACCAGCTGGAGCAATGCATCTTCCCATCCCTGGTGTGGTACTTCTGCAAGCCCCAGGGGCAGAGCTCCCCGGGTGATCCCCCTTCCCACATGGCTCTGCTGGGAGAGGCTTAGGTGGGACCTTGGGGGCTTCTCCTGCAAGTAGACCCTGGGGGCTGCAATGGTACCAAGGGTTCTTTGGCCAAAAGGAGCATTTTAAGGAAGAATTCTTGAGTCCCACCTCCCTGGAGGAGCAGAGTCAACCCAAGGGAGGATGTTCTTCACCACCCTTCCTCTACCCCAAACACCCACTGTGCCCTTGCAGCCACCCAACCACATCCTCCTCTCCCTCCTCCTTCTTCTTCTCCTCTCTTTTTCCTCCTCCTCTGTGGTGAAGGAGCAAGAGAAACCACAATGGTGGGACAAACTCAGAGATTGACTCCTTGGTGCCCTTTATCTGGGGACCAGGGAAGACCTTGACCACCCTTTGGGGTGTCTCATGGCTTTTTCTGTGCTGCTGGCTGCAAGCTGTGTCCCCAGGACTGGCAGCTCCATGGGGAGAGATGATACTGGCTCTCCAAGGAATCGGGAAACTGGGCAAGGAAATCTGTGAAGATCAGGACTCTGAGCTGGTGGTGCTACAGGACAAGAAAGAAAAGGTCAATAGAGAGTAGAAGGCTTGAAAAGGACTCAAAAGTCCTGGGCTTTTAGGTGGGCAGGGGAGCAAAAGGCTCCCAGCAGCAGGAGGGTTTGGGGCAGTGTTCAGGGCACAGGGACACTTGTGTCCTGTGGATTTGGGAGTCAGGTTTGGTCTGTAGCTTT